AGTTGCATTTTTTTCAATTTTTCATAAAACAATCAAAGATATGAAAAAATGTAATTACATTTTAAAAAGTGGGAAGTGCAACTTGTAAGAAGTATTAGGTATTATTTTAACACGTAGGGGGAATCTTACAGTTGTTCCACTGTTGCTTTCCATTTTTAAATTGATTCATTAATTAAAGGTCCACCTTGTGTTATTTTCAAATACCAAACTTCTCTTTTTTTGGGCAACGACTTTATTTATCTTATGTAAAAGAAATAAAAATCTTTGGTATTTGAAAATAGAGAAATTTTAAAAAATACAATTTTTGAAGTACATTTACAAAAATGCCACATTTTTTAAATCTTTACAAAAATATCATTTTTTCAAAATTATTTTTTTTTTATATTATTTATGTTTGGGTTAATTATGTTCTATTAGGGTTTAGTTTTGAGTGTTTAGGGGGTTTTNGNTGTCAAAACATTTTTTAGGGTTTANAATTTTAAGATATANNCTTTATAAATCTATAATTAGTGGCATTTTTGTAAATGGACATCCTTAAATGGCATTTTTAAAAATATGCACACAAAAAATGGTATTTTTATAATTGGCCTTTGAAAATAACACAAGGTGTATTTAGGCTAATTTTAGGCTCTTCTAATTTTAGATTTTACTTAGATTGTTATTTCTTTACTTAGAATTAGTATGAGTCTATTTAGACTCCGAATGTGTGAGACAAAATTAGTTCCTTTTTCTGGTTCAGTGGGAGAGAGATGTTAGTGACTAAGTACAATTTTTAGCTGATTACATATTTTGTGACATGATTATCTAAATTTGATTATGACCGTTTTTAGAGTTCTATGGCCAACATATAATTTTTTCGTATAAATTGGATAAACTTTTTGAATGTAAACTAATTTGTTCATACCAACTTAAACGCTAACCATTTAAATTCATGATGTTATTGTATCGACTCAATCCGCCATATGTTATCACTCTTATGCAGAGCGATTGAACAGTGGCTCTCGACCTAGTAACAATTCAGGAAACCAATTGCTCGGATTACTTCAAACTTTTTCATTCTGATTTTTTCTTCTTTTAGAACACAAAAATGTATCCATTGTAAACTTATTTTATTGTAAATACAATTTTACATTTAATTCAAAAAAAAATTGTGACGTTATGTGCCTACTCGTAAAATTTATGATTTAAAAACTGTTCATGTCAAAATTAGTATAGCTTTGAATGTTTTCCTTGTAGATAAATAATCATCGAGATATACCTTTGTTAACGATTGTGTCTTCATCTTATTAATGCGTTCATGGGAAAACACTGATCACAAATATTGATTATAGAAAAAACCTAGTGCGTCAGATAAAAAGTGAATGTATACTGCATTGCAATAAGATTTTAGTAAGCTTAGAGTATGGAATAGAATTTGATACTGATCTATCCTTGTGTGGTCTTACCTATAGTTTCTTTTATATTAAATATATTTGTTTTTTGGGTGCGGAATGTGGTTTGCCTCTAAGCAAACTTTTGGACGTGGAATTTGAATCTCTTCAATGAATTTTTTAGAATAGAAAAATCTAATTGGCGCATCGATATCGTACCAATTAATAAAATGAAATTGAAAAGAAGATAATGAAGTTGCATTGGACCAAACAAAACTTTTTGAAGATGGAGAGCCATTTTTTATCCATCCTATCCAGAATAATACGATATGTCTTTTTAAACTATGAAATTCATGTGCGTCAAAAAAGAAATGAATGAAATTTATGCGAGCATCGTCGTTATAATTACATTTCTATCAAGAAAAGATGCCCATGTAAAATATATTCTCCCATATCTTGGGTAGAACAAAGTATAAATTTTAATTTTATTGTTTCCTATTGTTTTTAGATCAAGTGGTTCAAGTGCATCCGAAACCCCATCAACCTTTAATTTTGACAAACGCAGGTTTATTTTGATTGGGGGCATTGCGTTATTCATAGTTTAATACTATAGTCTATCAATATTTGTAACTATCAACGTTGTTGTGTTAATTTCTAACCTAGACCTCTCTCAAAATATTTGTCAATTGTATATAGGAATCTCTCATTTATGAAAACTTCAAATTGTGTTTATCTATCATACCACCGTTTTTTACCATTTAAAAAAAATGTTTTATTGCTAATCGAATTCGTTGATTTTTATCCGTTAAAAATAAATGAAATGAGGGCATCAATTAAAACCTAGATGGTAAACGTTCATTTAACTAATGGAAATTAAGAGATTTGAAAACAAATAGCCACACAAGCCGAGGGGGAGATCACGCATAGCGACTGGACTAACAATGAATGGTCCGAGTTGGTGTCTTTTTGTCCTTCTTCTAGTTCAAACTAATTAAATCTGTCGAACATATTTTTCTAAGTTATGATTCAAGTTTGAAGCATAGAGAATGGCCGGCATATTGTGATTTGTGTGTATATGTATACATTAATTGAGTATATGTATATGCATTAATATTGTTTAACAGGATTTAGGGTTTTAAAATGAAGTAATAATATAATTGACTTCCCTCAGATCTTACAATTTATTTTTTACAAATCTTTCTTGATGTTTCTACAGGTG